GGGTGTTAGGTGAGAAATGAGACCAGAAATTATTTTATGACAAAGAATGAGGTGAGCGTGAAATGAAGGGAGGGTATCAATCAAGTTTACTTAAGTCATCGTGACACATATTTACCACATGTTTAACATCCAACATATATGCACAAAGTCAATCAATACAGTACAACAGCATACATTTTATACACAATAATCAGAAGCACAGAGAACATGCACAACCTAATACACAATATCCAGTCGCTCCTAACATTAGCGAGAGGCAGTTAGCCAGATTGCCTTTTTAATGACGTGCAGAGTACAGAAAATTGCAAATAATTAACCTGCTAATGTTCAGATAGTGTAATGTCTCATAATTTCTACTATGCGAGCAACTGCACTGGGAAGTACAAATAGCGAGACTACTAATTTAACTACATTTTTAGTAGAATAAAATTTGTTTAGCTGTTGTCAAATTAGTATAGTTTTTCAAAATGTCTCTGCTGCTGGTACTAAAGTTGAAAAATACTTTTTAAAATGATCAATAATGTTAATTATTTATAGTAATTTTTTATTATTATTAACAATTATATCATTAATTTCATATATGAGCTACAAATAATGTCACTACTGAAACGGCATAGTTTTCCCAATCATAAGCTGGTTTTTAATAACCACATGAAATTGTTGATGTATTTCCTATTTAAAGTCCCCATGAAATCAAAATGAAAGTTTTTTGGGTGTTAGTATCAATATGTTAGTCTTAAGGTTATCTATAAGGCAGTGTGCTCCAAAACAGTGACAAAATGCGCATTTAGAAGATATAAGCATTCAAAGCTTGCAGTTCGTCACTTCCGCCAAAACGGCTCAACGATTTTTTTGACGTCACATCGTACTTCAGCTCCTCATCAAACTTTCTGTCCAATCAAATGCTCTCTAGAATCCGAAGTGCCCGCCCCCTACACTATAACATAAGATGCTGAAGCCGCGGCTGAAATCGGTCACTTGTCCACAGAATTTGTATTTTCTGTACAGTGAATGGCACGTAGTGCACTATATAGGGGACAGGGAACGATTCAAACAGTGTAAACATGCTTTCAATTGAGGAAAAAAAGAAGTCTGGTTTTGCGCTGTGTCACGCTAACCACCGCACCGCACGCACACTCTGCTCTGGTCCAGAGACACGATAGCACGGAGCGGATTACATGCACAAGTCGGCGCAGACCACAAAATGTATCGGAGCTATTTGAATTCTACACAGAATGCTATATTTTATAGCAATATGAATGAAATTGTGGCTGGCATACCCTGTCAAGTGCGGCTTTACAGAGTTCAACGGCTCTGAACCGCTCTAGCCCAAGCTGTGATATAAATGAACGCTATTGGCTATTTTAAAAAGGGGCGGGGCTACTTGATATGTCCCGCCCTGTCTTCCTGTTTCAGTTAAAATGACGTCAACACAGAGTAACGCTGAGTGTTTCTAAGCATTTCAGGGGACCTTTAAGCAGGAAGTCCGGACAAATCTAATTTTACAGGACGAAATCTGTGTGCACGATGAATCGCTAATATTTTTGGTTCGCAGAAAACTTTTCAAAGTGCGATAGCATTTACTGTTAAAGCTAACAAACATGGACTAAAAGCCATAAAACTGTCATTTTGATTTTATGGGGGTTTGTTTGTAATTTGTAGTGTAGCTACTTCATTAAAAAGGTAGCCTGAATTACAACAAAAATGCATTATTTATTATTGTTTACAATTTATATAGTTTTGTAGTTATTCTGGTAAACAAAGTGTATGGTGTAAATCATCTTCAATCTGTTCTTGAATTCTTAGCAATGGCAACCAAATTCTGCCATTTAACACATGAACATTTCAACGCAAATTATTTGCTCTCATTTTCTCATCTATTTTCTCACTCTCGGTTGTTCTGTCTTGAGGTATTGTGAACATTTCAGCTAGCTCAGCATTTTAAATCATCAAGTCTGAGTCTCTGAAACACCTCCCGCTAACTGCATTTATATTAAGTCGAAATCGAATAGCGTTGTGTTTGTTCACGCATGGGATGCCTCTGATAAGTCAAGGAGCCAGTGAAGCTACAGATAGCGCTAATTAAAATATAGAGGTTCACGTTAGTCACGAGCAGGACACGTGAACACGCTTCTGCGGTTTCCCCCTACAGCCTCATGTCCCGCGCTGATTAAGGACATAAAGATGCTACACTACATCCTCTTCTTTTTTCCCTTTAAATTTCCATTCATTCTTTTTTCCTGTCTCAAGCCAGGTGAACACTGTGTGATTTTTTTTCCCTGTCCTGTTGCTTCTCAGACTGGATGATGAAACAACATTTTAGGTGTAAAATATGCATATTATCTACGACTTTGACCATGTCACCAGGGTTTGTTCTGACTTTGGCATTTTCACACGAATCCGAAGTAATAACATAAATCCAAAATGAAAAACCCCAAACTGCACAAATGGATTTGCCACTTTTAATAATTTTGATAGTCTGGTTACAATGAAGATATTTAATTGGCACAAGCTCAAATCCATTGCTTCCGTTAAAATTTCAGACACTGGAAAACTTAAGAAGCTACGATTCATTGTAAAAGTTGCTTATTGATAAACATGTTATACCAAGTGATCTAAAACTCCATTTAGCCCGACGAACGGATCGTAGCAAAAACCACACAGTGCGCACCCGGCTTCAATCGAAAGCTTCGCTGTGGTAGAGAAATGAGGTAAAAATGTTAATAGTGTGAGTAGGAATGAGAATAATCTTCACAGGTGTCTTATCATTTTTACCCACCAAAGCATTTACTTTGGTTTGTCGCCCGATCCACAAACACTTTGGAGGAGATGACATTACCGAAAGGCAGGAACATCTGCATCAGCTCGCCGTCCCCAAACTCCTGAGGGAGGTGATAAATAAACAGGTTACAGCCCTCTGGCCCTGGAGACAGAGAAAGAGAGAGAAAGACAAGAAGGATTGTGGGATACAGAGGATTAGAGAGGCGGTTAGACAGGAGCGAAAGAGAGCAGATAGCACAGAAAGAATAGGTGGAAATGAGAGTAATAAAGACAGATGGAGGGCAAAACAAAGACACAAATGGCAAAATTAGACTTGGCTTGCCAAAGTAGAAACTATAGAAACAGTTTCTCTTTATTGAGCAGTTGCCCTGGCATCTGAAAGTAGCAATTCTCTCCTTAAGTTGTATAGATGAAATAACCGTACAAATAAATACTCAGCGGTGACACTTCCCGGTTCTTCAGGCACTCCTGAAAAGAGTTGTTTTCGATTAGCGCTTCCTTCAAACTGAGAGGAAAATTACCAAACAGTGCTGTATAGGAGAAACCCATTTACAAAATGTTATTGGAGATTTGGAATTCTTCACGTTTCAATACGGAGAAAGGACAAACTTCTTGATCCAAATTATTATAGTTCACGGATCATGGTCATTATGATCTCCTCTGCTGAATGACCTTGAGCTTTTTCATCAAATCACGGCACTTACTCTGATTGCAAAGTTTTTTTATTTCTTGGGACATATATAAGGCCCATCATGCACCACAGACCACAATCCAATGGGAATGACTGCAGCATAGATACTAGCAATGCAAATACAATGTCATTGGCATTGTATTTTTTTTGTATGCTGTTTGTTGTATATATAAAAAAAAATATTTACTTTTATATGCATAATTTCTCAAGCTTTAGAAACCAACAACTACAGTATCAATACATTATATACTGAATACATTTTAACTGGTTTTGTCCATTACTCAAATAGAACCTTTGTACATCAATTTCTAATAACTTTAACATTAACCAACATTAATGCATAACAGATCTTGAGAACCACAAAAGGGAAACCTTCTCTATATCTGCATTCCTCAGTTAACTAATCATGCACATGGGGTGCTGACATTTGCATAGCAGTCGTCTTTCTGTTTGTAAAGCAAGAGTACAGTAACTTTCACCTGGAACATCAAATCGTGACTGTATGATGGTTTGTTGGTGATATTTCAGTATAGTTTATAATAGCAGCCACTGGAGGGAGACGAACCCACAATCTTGCGTTTAATGTTTTACAAAGTCAACCAAGAACACCAAATTTTACTTAATGTCTGTTGATCTCTGACAGGCCGTCAATCTTGTAAGGGTTTGTTGAACTCTTTACTGCTTTCATTATAAGTCTATTTAATATCAGATCCAAATTATTGTCTGTGGTAATCAATAGCTGTTGAAAAAATTTTTTAATTATAACTTCATTATTTAATATTATTACTTGGAACGTACACTAATGTTCAAAAGTTTGGGGTCTGTAAAATTTTTTAAATGTTTTCTCATGCTCACCAAGGCTGCATTTATTTGAATCAAAAATACTGTAAAACAGTAATATTGTGAAATATTATTAGAGTTAGGTATAATAACGGGTGTCTATTTGAATCCATTAAAACATTTTAATTAATTCCTGTGATGAAAAGCTGAATTTTCAGCAGCCATTACTCCAGTTACTCCAGTCACATGATCCTTCAGAAATCATTCTATGTCAATTTGCTGCTTAAGAAATTTTTATTATTCTTATGAATGTTATTATTAATGAAAACAGTTGCAGAATATTTGTAGGAAAATATATATATATTTTTTTACTTTGCATAGAAAGTTCAAAAGAACAGAAATCTTTTGTAACATTGTAAATGTCTTTACTGTCACTTATGATTAATTTAATGCGTCCTTTCTAAATCTTACTGACCATTAACTTTTGAACGGCAGCGTGACTGCTGCATACAGCACAATCGATATATAAAATCTCACTTTTTATAGGACATCAATGAAAAGACAATTATGGAAAATGTCACACAGAGTGACCACGCTGAATCCTTCACTCTTACAGGTGACATATCTGGAGGCGACAGACTCACCTTCTCTCTGTTGCTGAGGGATGATGGGAGGCGGCTGGGGAAAGGCCTGGCTGATCTGTCCATATGCAGCGGGGAAGGCTGCTGAGACACACACACACACGCGCCAATGTGTCAGATAACACACACACATTCCCCACCTCTTATTCCAGCACACGTAGACAGCGCATGCACTTTTTATTAACTCGGAAGCAGGAAAATCACAAACAGCCTCCTTTTGAGTGACAGACCTGCATATTGTTGGACTCCAGCGTAGGCCTGCTGTAGGGGGTCTGCTGCAGTGGGACTCTGAGCTGAGGAAAGAGAGAGATGAGAGCATTACAGACACAGTTGGGGTCACTGAGTGCGTTTGAGTGTGTTCGGGCAGAGCTGTGCGCCGGGAATGAGCTTACCTCACTTCCCTCCCCTTCACCGTTCACCCCAAACAATTAAGCCGTGGCGCTCGCACAGGGCCCTGCCAAGCTTCCCGCTGCCCGAGAGTTGGAAAGACAGCCGGAGAGTGTACGGAGAACAATATAGATCTACGGCACTACACGGCACATCAATCAGCTGAGAGCTTTCACAGTAATAAAGGCAATTCAGGTCCAGCCCTGCGACGCTCTGTTCTAAACACCGATACACATACTCGCAGCCTGGTAACTTAACGCTATTAAAACACTGACACGGTAAACACTGCAGCATCCACACTCAGGATTGGGTGTTTGTGGCCTATCGAGTAACATTTCACTTAAAAGCTGGGAGAATTCAGCCAAATATGAACATCCTGTCATCATTTACTCACCCTCATGTTATTCCAAACCTGTATGCTCATAAAAAAATTAAGATGACCTAGATTTTCAGTGAATTACACTGAAAATTACACTGGCTTTCTGCAATACTTAGTCAATCACGGCATTCATATGTCAGATATTTCCTAATATTTGTTGTCATCCATGGCAATGCTATATTAGACTGCTTACCAGGGGAACGAAGAGCAATGCAACTTTCATATACCTCGTATTACACTGTGGACTTTTTATATAAATGTAATTAGTGCCATCATTTTAGTTATCAAATGTATTGATCGTGAAAATGACATCAGAAAACTTATTAATATTAATGTAATGTTGCAGTGTTTGTCTTGTTAGGCAGATCTTTTTGTACACTAATTTAAGATAATATAGTTAAAATGATAAAATAATTTCTAATATGTTCTATAGATGTTATTATACTATTTAGCATATTGATATGAGGTTCAGTAAATTATAAAATGTAATTTTTTGGGTAAATTGTTAGTTCAATGAGAGTTGTTGGTCCAATGCTTTTGCAGGAAAGAGATTTTTTAAAATCATTTCACCAGAAATATATGTAGGTAAATAAATAATAAACATAATTATACATATTGTCATATATTAGTGAATATAAATAAAAACGTTTTAAATGTCATGCTTCATTTAGTGAAAAACAGTACACAAAACATGCATTAATTCTTTTTACATTTCAAATGTAAGCAAGACTTTTATTGTATTTTTAATTCTCTCCAATTTTATTGTATTTTTAATTTTCTCCAAAATTCTGTGAAAAAAATCTAATGTAGCAATTTAGAGCATATATATTACATATAATCAGATTAAAGTTTCATTATTTGTTGGATGAGAAGACAATTTAAACTGAGCTGAATAATGGCAACGTCGCCTACTGTAGACCTGCTTTTAAATGTATTACATTTTGACTTTGCAAAACTGACACTGTTATTGAACTGAACTGAATCAACACTGAACTGACTTGAGTTGAACACTATTGTCTTCTGTAGAGCTGCTTATAGCAGAAATTGTCTTTGTTTCATAATTGATCAATTCTGCAATGACGGCACCTTTTTTCCTTTTTATTACTGTGAAGCTTTGACACAATCTGTACTGAACTGACTTGAGTTGAACACTATTGTCTTCTGTAGAGCTGCTTATAGCAGAAATTGTCTTTGTTTCATAATTGATCAATTCTGCAATGACAGCACCTTTTTTCCTTTTTATTACTGTGAAGCTTTGACACAATCTGAATTGTATAAACGTGACTTGACTCGATGGTTGTTGTGTATCCTAATGGATACTGTAAAGTGCAGGGCTGCTAACCAAAAGCCTGTAGGATTGAACTCCGGAAGGTGTGAGCATCACCTCTTGCCCTTGAGCTTTAAATGAAAGCGTCTGCCAAATACAATGCATGCACATATAACTATAGCCACACTACAACAACAACAACACTCTACAAAGCTGACGACACCAAACAAACAAACATAAAGAAACTACTCACATGTCTTTCACTCCCTCTGTCTACCGTATAGCGTATACACACACACACTCACCAGACACACACAGTAAAATAACACTGCACGACACTAACGTCTGAGGGAGTTCTATACCTTCTGAGAGAGACGACAGGAAGCAGCTTCCCTGAACCCCAAAACAACTTCTCTGTGCCACGCCCAGGCCGCCCTTCTCCGAGTCTTCCCTAAACACCACTTCCTGCAAAACTGGGATACAGGCATTTGCTTTTCTTTGTGGCACTGGATATGAAAACCACTCCATAACACACACAGACTCGGACTGTGACAGCTAACAGCCGACCACTGGCATTTCCAAATGCGGAAACTTCCAGAAACATGTTTAATCACATGCCTGAGTGCAGGGCCGTTTCTAGCCAATTTGACGCCCTAGGCGAAATCCCTGTGCTCATTGGTGCCCCTTCAGCTGGTGGTGCCCTAGGTGACCGCCTAGCTCGCCTATGCCTAGAAACGGCCCTGCCTGAGTGTTTAAAAAAAGACTGCTGACTCGTCAAATAGAAGAACACTTATATTTCTAAACACATAAGTAAACAGTGCACAATATAAACTGCTTTATGTACATACATAAAATTTGATTATACTGCAAGAAATACTGACATTAATTGTCAAAATAGGATGACGACATAAAAATTTTACTGTTTATTATTAGTCTTGTATATTACTGTTGAAAAAGTAACCATAAAGTTGTGAGTTTTTAAATAGAATTTAAGGTTAAAATCTGCCATATTTCTGCTGTGTATCTGTGAATGAGAGCATGTAGTACCTGGGTAAGGATGGATTCCATTAGTAAACATGGCCTCCGCTGGGGCCTGGCCATTGGCCTGAGGAGGCGGCAGCCCTGTGAAACCGTTGACACTAATTGGAGATGGAATGCTGGTCACCGTGGGAGCCGTGATGCCAGGGGGCGTGCTTCCACCTGGGGGTGGGACCAAGGAGAAGAGAGCATGTTACCTAATGGATTTGCTGGGCATAGAGTTTTTTTTATTATTTAAAAATAATTAACATATCATTCTTTAGTGAAAAACAATGCGTAAAACACACCTTAATTATTTTAACTTTAACTTTTTTGTAAATTGGCTTTTGCATTTTTGGAAGAATTCAAAACAACACAAAACAAAAAAAATGCATTTACATCTTACATTTACCATTTTAATACCTCTGATTAGAAAAAAAAATCAGAATAATTTAGGGATCAAATCTTCATGGGACCAATCATTGACCAGTTGACCATTGACCTACTCCTATTGTAGAAAAATACTATTTTATTAGTTTAAACAAAAAACTAGGTCAAAAACGCAGTGACTGAAGGGGTTAAGTCATTTTAGAGCATTAATCAGAGCATATATTAAATGTTATCAACATATTCGATAACACTTTACAATAAGGTCTCATTAGTTAATGTTTGTTAATGCCCTAAATAACCTTAACATTGAGCAATACATTTGTTACAGTATTTATTAATCTTTGCTAACATTAATAGTTATTAAATATACAAGTGTTCATTATTAGTTCATGTCAGCTCAGTTCTATTAAATAATGACAGATACAACTTGACATTTTAAAATAATGTATTTTAAGTATCACTCTTAGCTAATGTAGTTAGCTAATGTTAACAAATGAAAACTTATTGTAAAGTGTTACCAATTTTTGTGTGTGTTAATTTTATTAATAATGAATTGCTTATTTATTTTTATATTCATACATCTTAATTAGTTATTGTTTAGAAGCCTGTTAAAGAACTAAGTATGGCACCTATCCTATTAACCTGTTAACCTGCACGCCCCATTTTGGGACTCGCAGCTGAAAATGACCTACCTAACTTAAAATTGTAACAGTTCCTGACTTCAGTGTGCTACACACACAATTTTGGTGTCTTTGGAAAGAAGACCATTTGGGCTTCCAGAGTTGATAATGCTCAAAAAGAAAAAAAATGATATATAGTGAAGTGCCTTGAAAAAAATGGTACTACACTGAATATTTTTTTATTTCATATAAAAATACAGGAAATCAGTCCTGGAGCAATCCAGAAAAGTAATGGGTTGAAAGTTACATGTCTCATGAGTTTATATTTCAAATCTGAAGAAGATACCATGAAAAATGAGATTCCTGCAACCATTTTTCAGAGACTATGTCATGACTGATGGTCATACAGATGGTAATCATACAGATGGCCGGCCATATAGTCAATAATCACACTCTAATGGCCGTTCATATAGACCGCATTCACACTGATAGCTGTCATACAGACCGTAATCACACGCTGAGTTCCTGACTTCAGTGTGCTACACACACAATTTTGGTGTCTTTGGAAAGAAGACCATTTGGGCTTCCAGAGTTGATAATGCTCAAAAAGAAAAAAAAATGATATATAGTGAAGTGCCTTGAAAAAAATTGTACCACACTGAATATTTTTTTATTTCATATAAAAATACATGAAATCAGTCCTGGAGCAATCCAGAAAAGTAATGGATTGCCCCGTTTGAGGAAAAATATTTACCAAATGTATTGAAGGGTTCTACAAAATATTTTAATACAGCCACATTCCCCACAAAACACACACACACACACACATACAGTATATATATGAAAAATGTTGAAGAATTTTTTTTTTTATTTGTGCAAAAAGCCAATCGCTAAGTTATGCCCCCATCAGATGACAGGTGCGTCACAGCGTGCGTCATGAGCCATCACGAGAGAGCGCCAGAATTCAAATAAACAAAATTCTGTGTATCTTTGACTTTTTTTTTTTTGCGGTCATACAGATGGTAATCATGCAGACACAAAACACACACACACACACACACATACAGTATATATATGAAAAATGTTGAAGAAATTTTTTTTTTATTTGTGCAAAAAGCCAATCGCTAAGTTATGCCCCCATCAGATGACAGGTGCGTCACAGCGTGCGTCATGAGCCATCACGAGAGAGCGCCAGAATTCAAATAAACAATATTCTGTGTATCTTTGACTTTTTTTTTTTTTTAGTACTACAATACCATGTTGCTTTTTACTACCAAGATGCAGCTTTTTGAGCGTAAGTTATTCCATAACGGATACAAACAATAACTGTTCTTTCTGTCCTTGCATCTCTCACTTCCTTTCCTTGTCTTTCCCACTTTGACCTTTAGATCTCTCTCTCCATCCTGGCGTTTCACTTTAAATGACTAGTGAATGGATCGGTCGGGGACGGCACATCGGTTTTGCCAGTGGAATCAGAGGGCTTCGCAGGGACATATATTGCGTTTTTACAGGGCTAACAGGGGGACAAAATTCAGCTGTCCATCACGACGAAGACAACTGATCTGTCAAGTGTGAGTAAAGGAAGACGCTCTCAATTAGAGGAAGGAACGTATGGCATGAAATGAAGGTAGAGACTATGAAGGAGAGAGAGAGAGACTCTTCTATGAGTATGTCTCGCTCTCTCTGTGGGTCCATCAATCTTGGTTATCTGGAAAATCTGACCCAAAAAGGTGGGAAAGACGAGCTGTATCTCACCAAACTGCTTCCACTTTGTCTGTTAGTGACACACAGACACACACATGCAAAGTCAATCTCACTCCCATGAACACACACACAGACACAGACACACA